CCAATTCCTAACCTACCAGACAGAAATTTAGGGAACCAGTTTACATTTTACACGATCTACACCGCTCGAAACTCGCTGAACAGCCGACGATCGCACTCATCTTTTTTGTGCGACCACAACAAGTCAACATTCCGAACGGACACCCCGATCACCAGGAGGGCGCACCAGAAATGCTGGCGATCGCACCGCATCGTCGGAACGAAATAGAGGAGATATTCCCAGGACCTCAAACTCCTTTCGGAATTGCAGAGGCGACCGTCATCCAGCCGCACATAAGACCTGTAGCGACATCACCACGCGACAGGTTATCCTGTCATTCCTTCCTTCCTTCCTTCCTTGCTTCTTTCCTTCCTTCCTTCCTTCCTTCGTTCATTCATTCATTCATTCATTCATTCATTCATTCATTCATTCATTCATTCATTCAAGCGCATCGACTGAGGCGAGCCCCTACAGTGAGGGTTCGCCTGATCAGGTGATGCCGCTGAACTCCGGCTATCACTGCTCCCCGTTCGCAAACTACACGCTCGACGGCATCAAGGCGGCCATGTCGTCGCGAACCGGGTGTCCATCTGCTTACTGGGATTCCCATGTGAGCAGTGCTTTGTTCCACACGGCTTTTCAGCCGTTCACATGGCCGNNGAGGTCCTGTTCCACTGGGTGTTCCGAGGGTACCGATCGGACTCCGACCGCTCGGTTCAACAGCAGTTCTGTGACGAGGTGTTGATCCGCACTCTGAGATCGTAGGTGATGATCACTGGATCCCTATGCAGCGGTACGAGGTCGTCCAGCAAAATAAGGTCAGGGGGTGGATAGCGCCATCTCCAACAAGATCAACCAACATGGCGGCCATCAGGTAGCTGCGATCGCGGCTACCTGATCAGCCTTTGCAGGGCTGGGTTCTCGATGAAACGCGGTGCTATCACCGGAAATGGAGTGTCGTCGCACTCAAGAATCTGGCTATTGGCAAGGTGGCTTTCTTTGTGATGGTCGGCCACTCGTTCGGGCTTTTCTCCGCGGTCTACAACTACAACCGCCGCTCGGCGGCGATCAACGACATCCTCCGGCGGTTGTTCACCGTGGCCGCGTGCCAGCATCTTCAGCAAGTGGCACCCTCCGCGGCAGTCCGAACTGGGGCACCAGTGGGGAACGACATGGCTGCACAGTCGAGGGATCTAAACTTCCCCACGCCGACGATCGAAAATCTGGGCCGATCGGCTGATCGCCAAAATGGCCACGGATCACAACATCACGGCTGTTCTTACGATCGTGAAAACTGATCCCCTAATTCCTAACCTACCAGACCGAAAATTAGGGAACCCACAATATACCATAAAGACTTCAGTGACAAGTACGCTCCTATGTCCCTCAGGCTACAGATCTCGGCCTGCAGTGAGGTGCATGTGCAGAGCTCCAGGCAGGTTGACTCAACCCTCGGTGGCCAGCCGTCAAAGTTGGACATCTCCACATGCGTGACCCATGAACATGCATCAGAAATCGTATTGCCGAATGGTCCAGCTTTTTTCCGAAGCTCCTGCTGAGAACAGCTGAGTCTCCGATAGCTTGGCTTGCTTGTCGCTTCGTTGGGGCTTGCATGGGGCCGAGCACATTTACTACCGGGCTCGAAAGCTCTGTGGCGACCAATACGTGAACATTCCAAAGAGCAGCTGGTGCCTTCATCAACGAACTTGGTGAAACATGGAAGCTGCCGCCCCAGCATATATAGTCCCTCATCTACAGCACTTTTCTGTGTCCATCGTCCACATGTCGTGTTATGCTATCATATCAGCTTTCAGCCTGGAAGTGGGCCGAAGGTGCCGCAAGTGCTGATTGATTGGATCCTTCAGCTTTCTCAGCTGCCACAGGTCATCCAGGTGCAGCAAAAGCCCCCTTAGATGTGAAGCATGTCCAGAGTTCATGCCACACCATGACGCGGCACCGCAGAAATCACAGGAAGATTCGAACTGCTGCTCCGCTTTTTCCTAGGCCGGGACAGTGTCTCTACCCAACCTCGGAGCGAAAGAGTCCGAACACTTCCCGGATCCAAAGCAATGACCAACGGCAGTGCAGAGATACCGAGGGAGACGGCAGCAACTTGATTGTCGATACTCTGCAGGCATTCGTACATCTCCAGCTCAGCAGACGCAATCATTCCTCCCTCCAGGTTCCTGGCGTGAATCCCGGAGCACTCCTTGATGAATCGATCGTGAAGCGATTTGGCCTCATCTCGTTCGGACACTCTTGGCTGTTCATGCAAGCTGGACTCTGACAGACAGCTGATGGCACCCTGCAGAGAAATCGCTTCGAAGAAGACAAGGTCGTGGCCACAAAGTAGGATTTCACGAGAGTGGGAGATGCGTCTCCCCAGTCGCAGCAACATTTTCACCGCTTGGCTTCTTCGCTGAGATCATTCAAACTAGCTTCAGTGGCACAGTGCCGGGAAGGTCTGAGGAACCTTATGCAGCCCACTGTTACGTAGCACAGGGTTCAGGGTTTAGGGTACATGTTCAAATCGCATCCCCGATGCCCTGGCAACTGGCCAAAAGTCATGTCGACTGCAAGCTTTCCGAGTCTGACGATTAATTTCAAAGGAGGGGCGACCCGGTTTTTACAAACACAGGTGTGTGCAACATACCTTGTCGGCCGTGACACAAGAACACAAGCCTCCCCCCTCCCCGCTTACTCCGACGGAAAATGTCGGCGACTGTTCTCGACCCACGGAGTTTGTGACACTGCGAGCTCGAATTCCAGAAGCATCACACTGATATTTAAATCACCTTCACAAGCCTCGTGTGCGACTATGACCTCAGCCTTTGGAAGCCCTGTTTAAACCGATGATGTCGCTTACGGATGAACTTTGATCCCTCATCCCACGTCGATAAACAGGGTAAGTGGCTGACTTGTCGCCCTTTTGATGTTGCACTTCGGGAAACCCGCGAAGTGCTGAAATTTGCTGATTTTGGAGCCGGTAAAAACTTGACGTCATCATGGTTGGGCCGTGGATGCTTTGTTCTCAGAACGGATTAGATCATGGACATCATCATGATTGGGCCAGGGATGCTCTGTCTCAGAACGGATTCGACCATGGACGTCATCATGGTTGGGCCATGGATGCCCTGTTCTCAGAACGAGGAACACAGAGCAAGCTAACATGCAGGCATCTGAGACAGCAAATACACGGCAAAACCGGCTGGCAATGCCAGCAAAAAATCCGTGCAACAACCAAAACGCCCAAAACTCTCAAGCTTTGGACACGAAGCGAACCAAAAAAGGCGCGTGCAAAATCAGCCTGAACACTCGAACAACAATGCAGCAAAAGCACAAGCTGTCAAAGTTATGGATATGGGCATTGCAGAGCAAAACCGAAGGAGGCAAAGCGAAAAAGCAGCAGGAAAAGGTGGTAGGTCAGCCACCAGGCATGAACAACACTTGCCGATGAGTTTCAATGCTGGAGACCTGTTGCTGCTCCTGTCACATGTTCGGCACGCAAGGACAAACCCACAAGAGGGTGTGGAACCACATGAGCGTACCACCAGCTCACGTGGGCACGTCCCTTTCTCAAAGTTTCAGCTTTGCTGAGCTTTGCGGCAGGTTATGACTTCTGAAGGTCATGCGTGATAATCACAAGACCTCAAGAAGCCTCATCCTGCGACGACTACGGAGATCGTACAGCCGAGCCTCGGCTGGAGGCCAGAAGCCGCTAGAAACACATGCCTGGCCTCTTAAGGTCTGGCTAAGATAGAAGCTCAGAAGCCGCAGCAGCTGGCTCCCCCTGGCAGTTAACACATCTGATGCCCCTTCAGCTGCTCGGCCAGTTCCAAGCAGGCATTTGGGGCTTGTCTGCAAAAGTCTGTAAGCACGAACGGGATGCACGCATACACAAGAAAAAAGAATCAATGACTCGCACGCAAACACAGGCACGCAACGCAAAAACCACAGGCCCAGAGAGAGAGAGAGAGAGAGAGAGAGAGAGAGAGAGAGAGAGAGACAGAGAGCGAGGGAGAGCGAGGGAGAGCGAGAGACAGATGTATGTGCATGCACAATAAAATCTGTGCGTACATGTGTGTATATATCTCTCTCTCTATGTATGTACATATATA